ACAAACTGATTTGTCTTGGAAGGCCTTGCTTTTCATCACTAATAGGTAAATAAGAGAAGACGCTCGCTGTTATCTGGCACGTCTAGATGACATCTGAGACTGTCTCACATACTCTGGACATGTCAGGAGAGACCAGTCCCTGGAGAATGGCATCATGCTTTGTAAAGGAGTGGGACATTGAAGGAGGGAAGGTTCTCAAGGAGGTGGATGTTCACAGTGACTGCAACTGTGGGTTCAAGAACAGGAACAATTGTGAGGATGTCACAAGACCTGGCAGTGACTTGTTCTGTTGTGCATGTTGTGCATGGGGTCACATGAGTCAGAAGTGACTCAATGACACATAACAACAGCAGCAATAAAGACATACAACAATGTTAGAGGGCAGGAACTGATTGGTCTTCTCCTCTCCCCATCTTAATAAACTGACCCCGATGACGATGTTGAAGTGGATTTTAGGATATACAAATAAGCGGGTGATATATGGTTCATCAGCACCAGGCAGGCTCATAACTTTGTTGCTTGAGAGACCATTTTAGATGATTACTTTACCTGAAGACAGAAGCCTGCTATTATTCTTATAGTTTCTTATAGTGGAGTTATTGTTGTGATCTCATACAATATGTGGTCTCGTCCTTTTTTGATTGACTACTACTTTTATAGTAGACGACAGCATGACTTTCTACTCCATTAAAGAGTGTAGTCTCAGAAACCCACAGGGGCAGTTCTACCCACTCGTGTAGAGTTGCCATGAGTTGGCATCGACTGGATGGAAGTGAGTTTTGGTTTTAATTTCACTTGGCATAATGGTATCCATGCTGTTCATTATTATGAGGTGTTTTTTAAATTTCATCACTGTTTTTTTCGGGATGTATAGTATTCTATTGTGTGTATGTGTGGGAAACAGAAGGATTTCTCCCAAGTTGTCTCTCCCAAATATATGCCAAACTTAGCTGCTTGCTTAAGGTGACCAGACGTCCCACTTTTGGCGGGACAGTCCCGATTTTTAACAATTTGTCCCGCATCCCGCGGTGTGGGGAACAGAAGGATTTCTCTTAAGATGTC